AAAAAAAAATTATTCGTTATGGAATTCAAGCTTGGCTATCGTTAGAGCACTCCTGCATTTAAATGAGAATAAATATTTTGTGATACTGGTAGCATAGCCCGCCGTCAAGGAAGTGGACGGAAGAAAACAGCAACATCAGCAGAAATGATTGGAAAAGTAAAGAAGCGACTTGATCGCAACCCGCGTCGCAGCGCCAGTGGCGAAAAATGGTTCGTGAGATTCCATTCGACAAATATGCAATATTCCATTCGGCAAATATTGAAAAATGAGCTCGGAGTAAAACCATTGAAAATTCCAAAAGTGCAACAGAAAGGAATTAGGCTCAAAAGAGCTAAAGAGTTGCTACGCTTGGCCGAAAGTGGTGAACTGCCGAATTTAGTTTTCTCCGATCTATGATGAGAAAACATTCCTTGTCCTGCAGTTTGTAAACAAACAAAATTATCGTGTTTACTTGCTAAAGAGGTCAGCTGAAAATGTGCACCTTCGGTTGGCCACCAGAACTCAAGCGCCGACCATTTTGATGGTGTGTATGGTCGCTCTCCGCTCGTATTAATCGACCGTGGCATCATATTAAATGCCGAATATTAACGCGAAAATATTCTGGAGGGTGTATTAAAGCCTAGGACACGCAAACATTTTGGCCGCCGACCTTGAACATTCCAACAGGACTCAGCACCATCGCACTCAGCACGCACCACCCAGTTATAGTTACAAAATGAGGTTCCTAACTTCATTTCTAGCGCACAATGGCCACCAAAACTAATCCGTTGGACTATTGTGTCTGGAGTATTTTGGAAAGCCAAGTTGGCACTAAAAAATACCAAAGTGTCGATCACCTCAAGCAAGCTCTTCGCCGGAAATGGGCCAAAATACTGCTGAACAACACTCGGGCAGCGTGTGACATTGGCCGTTTGGAGGTCATAATTCGTACCAAAAGTGACCAATTCGAACAAATCTAAACTTATTCTAAAATTTGATGCTATTTCCGACATTTTTTGTTATCATTCAATAAAATTAAAAAAAAATTTAGAAAATAATGGTATTTGACTTTGTTGCAGGTTTTTTATCTCACCCTATATCTGCTATCTCGCGCACGTTTTGAAATTTTCTAAAAATTACCACATATCTCTTAAAAAGTGAAGGAAGTAGTTGATGTAGTCCAAACCTGGCACATCACAATATTTATATCGTATTTATTTAGTTCCGATACGAAATGGACAATATTGGCCTATTCCTTTGGAATCTTCTCTATAGAGGGTCAACAATTTGAGTAATCATAACACAAGTCAAAATATATTTAAATTATCGAAAATTGACTGAGGGTCTGTCGGCGAAACTGACTGATACTTTTTAACTTGATTTTAAATACGATTTTTTACCTTTACATATATGGGCACAGAGGGAATATATAATTAATATTTTTTTTTTCCAAATTTAGAACGATCTCAGAGTTAAATAATATCGGTCTACTCATTCTGGTATCTAATCCACAAAAGTTCAAAATTTTGCAAGAATAAAAATCTTTTCGATTTAATTGAAACTTGGCACATATAAAAACAAGTAAAATAGCTGTAAGTTCGGCCGGGCCATTTGGAACGAATATGGCAATTTTGAAAAAAAAAATTAAATCCGTTTAAAATTCTCTTGAAATCTTAAAAATACCGAATGTGGCCGTTATATTAGGGTCTATATGACGACGTGAACTTGCACAGACCATTTTCTGTCATAAGCTGTAGTATCTATTACGAACTTCAAATGCGAAATTTGAAACAATTCCGGCTAATAACTTCGCTAAAATCGTACAAAATAGCGAATAATGGGGGGTACCGTTATAAGGGGGCTATTGGAACACGTGGACCTACTTGGCTCATTTTCTGTCTTAGGATGTATTATCCATTTAGAACAAATAATTTCCGTAAATAATGTCGCTAAAATCATCAAAATACCTAATATCGGGTGCTACCGTTATATGGGGGCTATAAGAAGACGTGTACCTGCACAGACAATTTTTTGTCATAGGCTGTAGTATCTATTACGAACTTCAAATACCAAATTTGCAACAATTTCGGTGAATAATGTCGCTAGAATCGTCAAAATGCCGAAAATAGGGAGGTACCGTTATATGGGGGCTATACGAAGACTCGGACCTGCACAGACAATTTTCTGTCTGAGGCTGTAATATCGATTGCGAACTTTAAATACCAATTTTAAAATATTTGCATTTGAATAATGTAGCTTAAATCATCAAAATACCGAAAATGGAGAGGGGGGCTATACCAAAACCTGGTCCTAGATGGCCTATTTTCAATACCAAATATCCGGCGGACATACTATACATTTGAGTAAAATTTTCTTAACCTTCTTCACTTCATTCGAAAGCTAGAGTGATTTCCACAGACGGCCTGACATCGCTTGATTGGCATAGAATTTTATGCTGATATACTTTGTAGGGTCTAAAATGTATATTTCGAGTTGTTACAAACAGAATGACAAGCTTGATATACCCTCCATGCTATGGTGAAGGGTATAAAAGGTAGTATTTAGATACGATTTGGGTTAGATAAAAATGTACAATATTAGGCCTCTCGTCCAAATACGTTTTCCTTAGGAGGTTGTAAAAATATTCATGTCCATTCATTCTGGTGCCTCTTACAAAAATTTTAAAATCATTAATTATCATATCTCTCGAAAAATTCGAAATAATATTAATAATATTAATAATATTAATAATATTATTATTATATTTTTAATACCCTCCACCATAGGGTAAAGGAAACATTAGAAGAAATGTGGCAAAAACCATTAAAATGCCGAATATCGGGCGGTACCGTTATATGGGGGCTATACCAAATTGTTGATCTACACATGCAAGGTTCCGCCAACGGAGCTAGAACCCATTATGACCTACATATACCAATTTTCAGACAAATACGTGAAAAATGTGGCAAAAATCATCAAATTACCGAATATCGGGAGGTACCGTTATATTGGTGCTATACCAAAACGTGGACCTAAGATTACAATGACTCGCCACACAAACTGGGACCCATTATGATCTACAACTACTAAATTTTCAGTGAAATTCGTGAAAAAATGTGTCAAAAATCATCAAAATACCGAATATTGATAGGTACCGTTATATGGGGACTATACCAAAACGTGGACCTATACATACAATGTTTCGCCACACGAACTAGGACCCATGACTAACAAATACTAAATTTATAAACAAATCAGTGAAAAAATGTGCCAAAAACCATCAAAATACCGAATATCGGGAGGTACCGTTATATGGGGGCTATACCAAATCATGAACCCATACATGCAATGTTTCTCCACCGGAGCTGGAACCCATTATGACCAACAAATACCAATTTTTAGCCAAATCCATTAAAAAATGTGGCAAAAATAATCAAAATATCGAATATCGGGAGGTACCATTATATGGGGGCTATACCAAAACGTGGACCTATACATACAATGTTTCGCCACACGTACAGGGACCCGTTATGACCTACAAATACCAATTTTCAGACAAATCCGTTAAATAATGTGGCATAAATCATCAAAATACCGAATATCGGGAGGTACCGTTATATGGGGACTATACCAGAACGTGGACCGATATATCTCATTTTCTATACTAACCATCCCATTATTTGGCGCTCTACGTCAAATAATGTGGGCTGTATCGTGATTTCAACAGACAGACGGACAGACAGACAGTCGGACAGTCGGACATACAGACGGACATCGTTAAACCGACTTAGAATTTTATGCTGATTATGAATACATATATACTTTATGGGTTCTACGACGATTATTTAAGGATGTTGCAAACGGAATGAGAAAGTTAATATACCCTCCTTTCCAAGGTGGAGGGAATAAAAATAATCCGTTTTAAAATTTCGATGTAAAGCACAAAATATTCGTCACTGTCCGACTTCACCGCGACTAGCTTTCGTTTTAATTCATTCTTTTTTATTACTTTTTCTAAGAAAGCTAAAAACTAAAAATACAATGCTGAAAATTTGCATTGTGTTTCCCTTCCGCCATGCTACTTCTTCTTCTCTCTTTTGTGTATTTTTACACATTTTATTAAAATGAATTTTAACCTTACCAACAACAACAAAAAGCATTGTATATGAAATATAAGTCAAGCGTTAATATTTATGCTCACATACAAGGGCCAGCTTTTGTTGTCGGTGGTGTAGTTGTTGGTAGTGGTTTTATACCATATTTGTGTAACGGGGCGAGAGCGTGTGTGTGTGTGTGTGTGTGTAAATGTGAGTTTTGGCGGCGGTATAATGAGAACAAATAAAACTTGTACCGAGAATGCAAAAAACAGAACACAACAATAAAACATTATTTTAATGCCATTGTGAAGGTCTTCATTATAATGAGAATATTATTTTATGAACAATAACTACAACAACAAAATTTTCAACTACCAAAACAACTTGACTTTGATGCTCATATTGCGATTAAGCCAAGAATTGCATCGGATTGCACAGTGACATTGCCTGAAGGTGATGGATGACTTTGGCATTGACATAGATCTTCAGATTGAAGTTGAGTGGAAAATGGGACATGGATTATTGTTGACATTGAAAATCGACAGCACTAAAGTGTCATATTGAAGAATTCCATGTGGCCCTTAGTCTCAGAAACTAAGAGAATATTTTCAAATTTTTATCCACATTTTCATTAAGAACCTCCGTCTCGTTGTGTTTTCATTGTTTTGGATTTGTCCAAAGTCAAGTTTACAATATTTATGGTTGACTTGTATTTCCAAAAATAAAAAAAAAAACATTTTTTATGTCTATCTTATATTTAGAAAATAATAAAAAAAAACTATAAAATATTTTTATGTCTGCTAATCTTGACATGGCTGCTTACGTTTGTTTTTTGACAATGAAATTTAAATTTAAAATTGTTGTTGTTTTAAATCAAATATTTAATTACATTTTTCTTTTTCTTTCTTTCTTATCTCATTTCAGAACGCAAACTGTTCATTGGCATGCTAAATAAGAAACTGAACGAAAACGACGTTCGAAAACTATTTGAAGTCCACGGAGCCATTGAAGAGTGTACGGTGTTGCGCGATCAGAACGGCCAGAGTAAAGGGTGTGCCTTTGTGACTTACGCTACCAAGCATTCGGCGATATCTGCGATAAAAGTAGTAATTTCCCCTTTTTATATATTTGTAACTAAGAAATGATGATGTATATAACAGCATGAGTTTTGAGTCCACGGTTTTGGTGAAATGGAATCTAGATGAGAGAATTTTAACAACTATTAACCATTGAAAACTTTTTCAAAATAATTTAGACTAACTTACATCGGTTGGGAAAAAAATTAATATTCAATTTTTGTATCTATCTCAGTAATATGAAGGGTAAATTAAGATCGTCATTCCGTTGTGAAGGCTTCAGATATACATCGGAAGCCCCACGAAGTAAATATCGCTCATTTACTTAAATAGTGTCACATGTGAAAAAAAACCACTTTCGAGAAAAACTCCTTTGAAGTTACCTATTGAAATTTGAATTTCCGAATTAAATCAGTAAGAAAAGATAAAAATCGGGCGGAGCCGACTTTATAACACCCAACACCACTATAAATATTTAGTAGAGTCACGTGTATCAAGAAATCGTTTATATTAGCAATTTAGGTATTAATTGCGTATTAAGGCTTTAGAGAGGTTTAAATTTGAAATAGGTTAAAAATGACATAAAAATCTTAATCGATTCCTCTAAAACTTGAGTGAGATAAATTTATGTTGTACGTTATCTATCGAACCAAATTTTGTTGCTATGGATTGCATATTATGACTTTGGGAATACTTAAATATGAATTCGGATTAAACTACTTTATTTGATCAAATGTGGCGTCCGTCGAAATATATATGAGATATCCCAATCTGACCCGATTCCGACAAAACTTGGAAAAGGGATTTTTAGGATGTACCCAATGTTGTGTACCAGAAATCCTTGTTACGTAATGTATTATAATACGAATTTGGGTGACTTAGATATAAAATCGTAATAAAAATATATGCGAAAGCTAAAGCTATATCTAAACCGACATTTAACACACTTGATTCTAGGCTAAATTTGGTAGTCTCTGCCAAAGTTCATCCTATTTAAGCTTACTTTACACAAATCCAAATCTGAACTGATCTCGATAAAATTTGGAAGAGGTATTTCTGAGCTGAATCTGATATTTGGTCTGATACATATGTTGTGGTGTGAACATTGCGTATGTGGGGGAGTTAAACACCAAATTGGATAAAAAATATATGTACGGAGCTATAGCTGAACCGATTTTCACCACATTTGATACACTTGCTTCTAGGCTGAATTTGGCGGTATATGCGATATCCTGTTCCAGTTGATACACAATATTACTGAAATCGGATAGGGATATATGTGGGTGCTATATATTCAAATCTAAACCGATCTTGATAATATTTGGCAGAGGTATTTCCAGCTGTACTTTGTACCAAATATCGTTGTCATGGAGTGCATATAAATAACAAATCGGGTGAACAATATATATGGGAGCTATATCTGAACCGACTTTTTACAAAATTTGATTCTAGGCTCAATTTGGTTGCATGTGCCAAATTTGTTCTAATATTACATAATTGGTGCACCTTAAAATACAAATCGGACAAAGATATATGTGAGAGCTATATCTAAATTTTGACCGATTATCACCAATTTCAATAGGGTTCGTGCATAGGTCAAACAAATGATGTAAATTTCATAATTTCTAAATTTCATCTAGATCGGGCTATAAATGCGACCTGCACATTGCTTACGAAAATACATGCATAGATAGGCGGACATGAATATTTAATAAATTTCTAAAAATCGGTATATAAATATATGTTGCTTTGTATTTTTATTCACACAGATCGTAATTCCAAAATGTACAATTCTAACACTTATGTACCAAATTTACTTCCAACACATTTAAATTTAAATTGTACAAATTGTATTAAATTGTACATTAGTACGAATTTCCAAAACTTCCTACAATGCACCAGTAATTTCAGGATTCCCAATATATCGGTTTCCCGTAAAACATAAATTGTACCAAATTTGATACAATATAGTAGACATACACGGTTCACTCAATGCGACTTTGTACCAATTTTTGTACAACAATTTCGAAAACTCCCTCCAAATCTCCGCCTGTAATGTTAATTTCAAATTCCAGGATTCCAGCTCCATCCGTTCCTCCAAACTCGAATTGTACCAAATTTAGTGCCATTAAGTACTTTCCGTATACATGAGTACACACTTCCAAAACTTCCTTCTTATATTCACCCTACTCCTCAACCCATATTCCCATTCTAAATTTCATGTATGTAGCTCTAACCGCTCACATGACACGAAATTGTACCAAATATGGTACATATTAGTACTTATACTTAAAGTGTTAATATTCAAAAATTCACTGGTACATTCTTCAAATACTTCAATGGTGGCCCTCTTTCCATATTTAAGAGTTCAAGCATTACTGGTTCGTCAAATGCAAAGAGAAGGATATTTACTAACTTTTAGTACTTTTCGTACCGTTCAAGTACGAATTTCCAAAGACCCAGCCTTATCTGACCCCTAAGGAACAAGAGTAATGACCCTGACCCAAAATTTCAAGAATGTAGCTAGTAGCTAGTACCTTTTAATACCTTTGGTACCGTTCTAGTACGAATTTCTAAAAACCCAGCATTCTCCAAAAAGAATTAAAAACAAAAATATGCCTCTTAAGTGACAAATCCTATAAAATACGAAATCGATGACCACAAAAATTCGGATACTGTGCTGGAAAATTGAATTTCGAATGAAAAATGAGCTTGCGGTTTCTTTGTGGTTTCAAATATGCAATATTTCATTTGGTTCAAAATATAATTAAGAGAAAACAAGTAAGCAAAGGCTACAGTCGAGCGGGGCCGACCGTTGAATACCCTACAACACTATAATAAACGATACAGTTTATATAGGCGAGATACTCGAAAGAATTCCACAAGATATTGTGACAAATAATAAAAGAAAACCATCAGGTTTCGTTCTCTAATTATCGAATATTATCAACTTTAACTAATTTGATCATTTCCAATTTATTCCTAGATGTTGCACTTAAATGGTCTTCCTAGATCTGGAATCAATATTTCCCAAAGACCTATAATCTCTCATAAGTGGCAAAAGATTAACATTTATTATTGGTTTTTGACTGAAACGCATCTATATGAGATACAGACATTTGACTATATTCGTTAACGAAATTGTCAGAAGTGCGTCTTTCCTGTATTTGTGAATTCTCGAAAAAGTCTCTGGAATGGACATTTTCGTATTTTGTCTACAAAAGTTGGCAAACTATTTCACACATTGAATATTTTTGGATGGCCATCCAAAACTATTTGGCTTTTGCAATGTCCCCCTTTCAAATGTGCGTGATGATCGGGCGATAATTACGACCTGCCGACAATTTTGCAGTTTTTTGGTCCATTTCAACCCCTAAATATATGGCGATCATCTCCAAAAAGAGTAGGCTTCTATTCTGGCCCTCATCTTATCTCCATGCAAAATTTCGTAAGGATCGGGCCATAATTGCGATCTGTATATGATGTCATAACTACTTAGTTTTGTTAGCTGTAGAAATATTACCAAATGTTTAATTCAAAATGAAAATATGCCAAAAATATGACAAAATTGAAAAAATATGAGAAAATGTTACAAAATCAATATTTTCATCTTTAGAGAGATATTTTTATGCGATTTTTTTAGACGTTTTTTCTTTTCTGTCAAGAGGCCATTCTGAATTAATGAGAACTGTCGAAATCAGTTCAGCCGTTCTCGACATATAAGGGATCTTTCAAGCATATCTTCTTTGATAGACATATATATCGCACCTATTTTGCTAAATATCCGATTTGTTGGATGTTAACATCAATGTAAAGGTCAGAAGTAACCTTGTCATGGCTTTGTGATTTCGCCGGGATTTAAAATATCCGCGGTTTAATGAAAAATGTTGAATTTTTTCAACACAAAATATATGGTCTATTTTACCCGCTAAATATTATCCGATGACCACCCAAATTGGTAGGCTTCTTCCCCGTCCTAAACTCTAGCTACATGCCAATTCCGCGTCGATTGGTCTATAATTGCGACCTGTATAGCTACTGCAAAATCCGACATTTTTTCAGTATTTGGTCCATTTCAACCCCTAAACATTTGGCGATCATCTCAAAAAGAAATAGGGTTCTATTCTGGCCCAACCCCGACCTCCATTCCAAATTTCGTGAAGATCGGGCCATAATTGCGACCTGTAGAGTGATTACAAATTAACATGGACAGACGGACAGACGGACAGACGGACGGACGGACATACATAGCTAGATCGACTCAGCTCGGCGAGCTAGGATGATCCATATATACTTTCCTATGTGGGAAACCAATATTTCGTGGTGTTACATAATTTTTGGCCCAATCAAACTTATAATACCCCCAACACATAGTGTTGTAGGGTATAAATAGCAATAATTTACATTTTAATAATTAACGGAAGATTTTTCAAAAACCCAACGATTTTCCAAAAATTCAGCCTATCTTCACGCCACTGCACGAAGAGTGGCTCTAATCCGAATTGTTAAAGATCGACTGTTAATAGAGCGACCGATATCCTTAATAACAATCGTCTAGCAAAGAGTGTCGAATATAAAAATGTTAATGTCGATCAATATCGATGTTATACCATATTTTTACTTTTTAATATTGTTTGTATCCTTAAAATATGCAATTCCAAAAATCTCAACCAAGAGTTAATCTCTTCCAAAATCATGACTTACTTCACCTCTGTACCTAAAGATTCACTTCCTCAAGCAGATTTCAAACTTTAACTTATTATCGATCTATAAAACCAAATACTGTACAATTATTTATCTCGTAGTACTTTAAATACCCTCTCTGTATGAAATTAGGAAAACGTCACCTTATCTTACCCAAGAGTGATGCTGTCCGAAATTTTAAAATTCTAACTCTATCCAATCGCTCAACAAGAAGGTAGTATCATGTTGCTTCTTTTGGCGCTTTTCGTAACAAAAAAAAATCTATTTAAAATTCGAAATATTTCATTCGAAAATCGACAATTTAATTTTTAATTCGAAAAATTCAATTCTTAATATTTCGATTTTCAAATTATTTTTTCCAATTATTAAATTTAAAATTTGAAGCAAAAAGATTTCAATTTATTTCAATTTTTATTTGAACATTTTGAATTAATAATTGATAATATTAATAAAATAATAAAAAAATCAAATCTCGAAGTAAAAAATTTGATATATTCTTCTTAAAAAAAACTGACCGCAATTACTTAATTTGGAACCCTTAGCCATATTTCTTACGAGCATGGATATAATAAGTTAATTTATCTCCTACTTAAATTTTCTCCTTCTGAAGGAGGGTATGAGAAAAAATCAGGCAGCCCAACCACGACAGGTTTCTAATATCTACATTAAAAGTATGGGGAAGAAGATTCTTAGATTCCACCATTTCAATATATTTTTTCCCCAACTGGTGTAAGTTATTGAAATTTATTGTACTGTGTAAATTGCAATTCACTAACTGTTAACATTGAAACCAAATCAAAGCAACGCCAACCAACAAACAAACTAAAACGAAATCTCTGCAGTAAACTGCAGCAATATTTTTTTGAAAATCGCAACAAAAAACGCGATGGATTTTCAGATTTATTGCCCCATTGGAGGAAAAAAATCACTGCATTTTTTAACACAAGGAAACAGCCGAAATAACTTCATTTGAAATTCATGGATTTCTGTTTTTCTCTTCCTCCCTCTCTTTACATGCTGTTGTTGTTATTGTTGTTCTCTTTCGTTTCCACATTTTTTTCTTTCACTTTTTTATTTATATTAAATTTATTTCTTTTTTTTCGTTTTGCTTTTTGCAACTTTTCATTTCATATTTTGTTTTCGTATGACACCCGCCCGCTCGCCCGCAGACACTAAATCAAAACAAGACCATGGAAGGCTGCACCTCGCCATTGGTGGTGAAATTCGCCGATACCCAAAAGGAAAAGGAACAAAAGAAAATCCAACAGATCCAGGCGAATCTGTGGAATTTGGCGACGAACATGAATATACCCCTGGGACAGACAGCGACAACGGTCTCGACGCCGGCCATAATGCCAAGTACACCGCAACAGGCCAGTCCGGTGTTGGGAGCCGATGCCATAACCCCGGCCTCATTGCAGCTGTTGCAACAATTGCAAGCAGTGGGTCTGCAACAGCAACTATTGCAAGGTAAGTGTGAAGCCCGGGGGGACAAATGGGAATTTTAGAAATGCAATCTTTGATTTGAATTTATTACATTTCAATGATTGCCAGAGAATCGGCTTTGGGGAGTTAGATTCAGTCGCCATGGGAACGGTGGTATGGAAGTAAGACAAATGATGATGAGAATGCATTTGAAAATGCTGTTTTTTCAAGAGGTTGGATCTTAAATCCCTTTTTTGTGAAATGTTGGATTGTATATTTTTTGTGTTTATAGTTTGTTAAATTATGTGTTGAATATCTTTACAATATCTCCTTGATGCCCGCACTACGAAAAGACAAAGACTAAATATTTTCAACAAGAAGTATAGCTTAAGAAATATCCTGGCCTAAGGTAAGAATACGTGTTTATGTGTGAAGAAATCCGAGCTGATATTTTTGTTTTTAAGTTTTTTGTCTCTTAAACCTTTGAAGCACTTTAACTCTTTTCTAAAATTTGAACTTTAACTCATTTCGGAAACTCCAAAAAGTCTCGTGGGCCGGTTTTTTAAGGGTCAAACGGTGGCGTAGATTTTTTTAAATATGTTTTTCAGGGACCAACAAAGGAGTGACACTTTAAGAATATTTTTTCAGGGACAAACTCTTAACTGGATTTTTTTAAAAATATTTCTTCCAGGGGCAAAGTAAGGGGCGATTTTAATTTTTTTTTAATGGCGTGGTTTTTAAAATAAAATTTCAAGGAGTCAACTGAGTCGTGGATTTTTTACAAAAAAACTAAAGGAATCAACTGAGGCGTGGATTTTTTAAGAATATTTTTTCAAGGAGTCAACTGAATCGTAGATTTCTTAAAATCATTTTTCCAGGGGCCAACTAAGGAGTGGATTTTTTAAAAATATTTTTTTTCAAGGAGTCAACTGAAGCGTAGATTTTTTAAAATATTTTTTTCAAGAAGTCGACTGAGGCGTGGATTTTTTAAAAAAATTTTTTGAAAAGACCAACTAAGGCTTGGATTTTTTTTATTATTTTTCCAGGGGCCAACTAAGGCGTGGATTTTTTTAATTATTTTTCCAGGGTCCAATTAAGGCATGAATTTTTTAAAAATTAATTTTTCCAGAGCCCAACTAAGGCGTGGATTCTTTAAAAAATATGTTTTGACAAGGACCAACTAAAGCGTGGATTTTTTTAAATTATTTTTCCAGGGGCCAACTAAGGCGTGGATTTTTTAAAAATATTTTTTTCAAGGAATCAACTCAGGCGTGGATTTTTTAAAAATATTTTTTTCAAGGAATCAACTCAGGCGTGGATTTTTTAAAAATATTTTTTTCAAGGAATCAACTCAGGCGTGGATTTTTTAAAAATATTTTTTCAAGGAGTCAACTGATGCTTGGATTATTTAAAAATATTTTTTTCGAGAACCAAATAAGGAGTAGATTTTTTAAAAATATTTATTTCGAAAACCAAATAAGGCGTGGATTTTTTAAAAATATTTTTTCAAGGAGTCAACTGATGCTTGGATTATTTAAAAATATTTTTTTCGAGAACCATATAAGGAGTAGATTTTTTAAAAATATTTTTTTCGAGAACCAAATAAGGCGTGGATTTTTTAAAAATATTTTTTCAAGGAGTCAACTGATGCTTGGATTATTTAAAAATATTTTTTTCGAGAACCAAATAAGGAGTAGATTTTTTAAAAATATTTTTTTCGAGAACCAAATAAGGCGTGGATGTTTTAAAAATATTTTTTCAAGGAGTCAACTGCTTGGATTATTTAAAAATATTTTTTTTCGAGAACCAAATAAGGAGTAGATTTTTTAAAAATATTTTTTTCGAGAACCAAATAAGGCGTGGATTTTTTAAGAACTTTTTTTCTAGGGCCATACTAAGGCCTGAATATTTTAAGAATACTTCTTTCCAAGCCCAAAGTCAGGCCTGGATTTTTTTAAGAAAACATTTTCCAAATTGATGCCTGTATTTTTTTATTTTTAAAGAATATTTTTTTCAGACTAAGGCCTGGATTTTTATGGATATTTTTTCCACGGTATACTGAGAACTGAAATTTTTAAGGCGCCGATTTTTTAAAAATATTTTTTACGGCTTAAACTGAGGCCTGGATTTATTAAGGTGTATATTTTTTAGAAAAATTTTGTCCAGGGTAAACTGTGACCTGAAATTTTTAAGGCGCGGATTTTTTAAAAATATTTTTTAAAGCCCAACCTAAGGCCTGAATTTTTTAAGGTGTGGATTTTTAAGAATATTTTTTTCAAGGCTAAATTGAGGCCCCAATTTTTTTAAGGTGTGGATTTTTAAGAATATTTTTTTCAAGGCTAAATTGAGGCCCAGATTTTTTTTAGTTGTGAGTTTTTAAGAATATTTTTCCCATTGCCAATCTGAGACCTGGATTTTTAAGAATATTTTTTCAGGGCTAAACTGAGACCTGAAGTTTTTAAAGTGTGGATTTTTAAGAATATTTTTTCAGGGCCAAACTGAGGCCTGGATTTTTTGAGGCGTGGATTTTTTTAAAAATATTTTTTCTAGGGGCCAAACTGAGACTTGGTTGTTTATGGCGTGTTTTTTTTAAATATTTTTTCAAGGGCCAAACTGAGACTTGGATTGGATTTTTTAAGAGTATTTTTCCCAGGGCCAAACTGAAGCCTGGATTTTTTAAGGCGTGGATTTTAAAGAATATTTTTTTCAAGGTTGAATCCTTCACTTTTTAAGGCGCGGATGTTTCAATAATATTTTTTTCTGAATCATTTTAGCATTTCATCCATTTGAAAAGATTGGATTTTGATAATCAAAATATGTCGATATTCGCGGTGCTTCAATTATTTACTTATTTTTTTTTATTTTAAGTGTCAAATTTCCACGTATTCCCTAAAATAAACTTAATTTTATGTAAATATTTGTTTTAAACAATTTTCTACCTCTTTGAAATTTTATAAGCTGACCACACTTTCTAGTTTTTTGGTAGTTTAAAGGAATTTGAAAACTTCGACCTCTTTTCATAATAAATAAATTAAAATGATTTCGTAAAGAATTTTCAAATCATTTTGGAAATTTTCTCAACTCAACCCTTTTTCTGCCTACTGGAAAACCACTTACTTCCATACCGCAGGTTTTCCACTGTTCCCTGAGAAATATTATATCAATTACTAATAAATATATTTATTTTCTATTTTCTCCACACAGGCCTGGGTGCACAAACAAATACGGCGGACACAACGGCGGCCACAGCAGCGGCTGCTGCCGCCGGTCTACTACCTCCGATGACTGTACAAAATTTAGCTGCCCTTGCAGCCATGACTCAATCCTCATTGACGAACACGGCCAACAATCCGGGCAATGCTCAATTGACAAATACAGCCGCCTTATTGTGTAAGTATATAATAAGCCAAGTGAATATGTAAACAAATGTAAATGGGTGTGTATTTATGTGTACATGTGTGTGAGTGTGCGTGTTTTTAAAAACTTTGATAAGAAAAAGTTAATTAATTGATGCTTAAAAAGTTTCAAATTAAGCCTCAAATGTCAACAGCTTTTATCATTATCAGTCAGATTGTTTTTTATTGTTTTTGTTGTTGTTGATGTCGCCCATAAAATTTTGTGAAAATCCCCTGGATTTTTTGTTAAGTAAATCCCCACTTTTAATTTTGTACCACAAACTACCACATGTCAATCTATAACTCAAACCGCTATCACGGTTACGAAACAGCTGGCTGATTAAAACCAATATATAATAATGACAACAACAACAATGAGATATTTTAATCCTTCAATGGATAATTGCAGTGGAGCCCCTCTCCCCCTTTTCACATTTATTTAAACTTTTAATAAGAGCAATGCCAGTTTAATCCCCATTTTTCATAAGTAATGTTTAAGTGAAAATTACACAACATTACTTAACACATACATATGTATGACGGCCCCACCCACCCATTAATACATGGTCATGCATCATTGACCATTGATTGCCGGATATTGTTAATAAATTGTAATCCCCCAGACCACAGAAACAACACGCAGACATACCGACAATCCTATCCGTCGCGTACTGTGAGGCCATTTTCGCCTCACTGTCTGCCCATTAACCCGTCCATCCACTCATCCACCATTCCCATGGCCCAATATCCGTTGGTTTTCTGTTGACTTAAACTTAATTATATTGATAATTTAAAAATCATTTAATTAAATAATTCATTATATGCCAGTCAGAGAGTAAAAGAGAGAGAGAGAGAGAGAGAGAGAGAGAGAGAGAGAGAGAGAGAGAGAGAGAGAGAGAGAGAGAGGGAGACAGTATAAACACTACAATGACATGAAAGAGAATGGCAGGGAGGTAGTTATAACTTTTACAAAGGAATGGGGCTTCGGGGAGGATATTTCTGAGAAAGACTCTTTCCGAGCTATGTGGAAATATGCCAGGCGGCGAGATTTTTGTTTAAGGTTTTTTTTCTAGAGGCCAAAACAGTCATCGAATTTATCAAGAATATTATTATTATTGTTCCAACTATGGCGTGGATTTCTGAAGAATATATGAAATGTCCAACTAAGCCGGGTAGTTTCGATGTGAATTCCTTAAAAATATTTTTTTGTGTCTAAAATATTATTTTTTTAAAAATGTCTTTCGATTTTTCAAGAATTTTTTTTTTAAAAATTTTTTTTTTATTGGTCCAAGGATCGGTTTATTTAAAGAATGAGCTGTTGTGGTTTTTTTAAAAAAGAATTTTAAAGGGGTGAACTATGTATGGATTTTACAGGCGCCAACTAAGCAGGGGGGTTTTTCAGATAATTTTAGCTGGGTCTTATTAAGACGAGTATTCATATACATTTTTCCAGGGGGAAACTAAGGCATGGATTTTCTAAATATGTCTAAAAATATTTTTACAGGGGCGAACTAAGGCATGGATATTTTAAAAATACTTTTTCCAAAGGGAAACTAAGACATGGATTTTCTAAAAATACATTTTTCCAGGGGGAAACTAAGGCATGGATTTTCTAAATATATCTAAAAATATTTTTTCCGAAGGGAACTTAAGGCGTGGATTTTTTAAAAATATTTTTCCAGAGGCAAACTAAGACGTGGATTTTCTAAAAATATTCTTTTCCAGGGGCAAACTAAGACGTGGATTTTCTAAAAATATTCTTTTCCAGGGGCAAACTAAGGCGTGGATTTTCTAAAAATATTCTTTTCCAGGGGCAAACTAAGGCATGGATTTTTTAAAAATACTTTTTCCAAAGGGAAACTAAGGCATGGATTTTCTAAAAATACATTTTCCAGGGGCGAACTAAGGCATGGATTTTCTAAAAGTATTTTTTCTAAGGGGAAACTAAGACGTGGATTTTTTAAAAATATTTTTTCCAGGGGCGAACTAAGGCATGGATTTTTTAAAAATATTCTTTTTCAGGGCCAACTAAGGCGAGGATTTTCTAAAAATATTTTTTCCAAAGGGAAATTAAGGAGGGGATATTTTAAAAATATTTTTCCAGAGGCAAACTAAGACGAGGATTTTCTAAAAATATTCTTTTCTAAGACGTGGGTTTTCTAAAAATATTTTTTTCCAGGGGCAAACTAAGACGTGGATTTTCTAAAAATATTCTTTTCCAGGGGCAAACTAAGACGCGGATTTTCTAAAAATATTCTTTTCCAGGGGCAAACAGAGAACTGGATTTTTTAAGGCGTGGATTTTCTAAGAATGAGTTCTTCAGGGATCAACATAATTTTTAAAAAGTTATTTGCAAAGGTCCAAAACTTTTTCAAGGGGCCAACTGAGGCTAAGGTTTTAATTTTTTCTGGAACTTATTAAAGCGGGTATTTATATAAATTTTTTCCCAGAGTCCAACGATTCTTCGATTTTTAAGTATATTTTCTAAGTAGTGTGTTTTTAAATAATGTTCTGTGTCTAGAATTTACAACAATATTTATTTTCTTTTTCCAACTAAAGCTTCCATTCTAAGAATAGTTTTTTCCAACGGCCAATTAAGGTGTGGATTTTTAAACAATTTTTTTTCTATAGGTCACCTTTAGTGTCCATGTTTTTTAAACAACATTCATAAAGCTATCATCTTTGGTGTAAATTTTTGAAGAACATTTTCCAGGCGTGGATTTTTATGATTTTTTTCCAAGGCCCAACTGAGGGGGGTTTTTGGAATATATTTTTAGTATCCAAAGAGGGCATAGATTGTTTAAGAATATATTTTTTCAGGGTCAAACAAAATTGTTATTAGTTTTGAATGTTTTTTCATATTTTATTTTAAAAATTGTTTTTCATGGACCAACAGAGGCTTCTTCCTAGGGGCTTCCTAGGTCAGAACGTTTTTTTATGCAATATTTTTCAAGGGATAGTATATCTTTGGGAAGGTATTTTTTCTACGCCCGCTATGTCGTGATTTTTTTTAACTATATTTTCCTAGGCATAGCTTTTTTGAAATATATTTTGCAGGGATTTATTATTGCGTAAATTTTCCAAAAATATTGTTCTAGAATCCCACTAAGGCTTCAATGTGTATAATATTTTTTCCAGGGGCCAAGCTGAGGCGTGTTTTTTCATATAATTTTTTGCATAGGCTTATTAAGGCGTAAATCTCTCAAAAAATTTTTTTTTGTAGGTTCCAACTTAAATTTTGATTTTTAGGAATATTTTCAAAGGCTAATTACGGCGCGGTTTTATCACATGAACTTTTTTCCGTGAATTTTTCAAAAATATTCTTTGGGAAAATGGAAAAATACAGGGGTCAACAATATTTTTTTTCCTGGGACCTGTTAAAATTTTCAACAATTTTTTCCATGCTCTAACGAAGGCTTGAAAGTTAAAAAATATATTTTTCAGGCGCCAACTTTGTCCTGGATTTTTTAAGAATATTTTTAAAGGGTAACTAATGGGTGGATTTTTATGTATGTTCTTTCCTTAATTTTTCGAGAATACTTTGTCTAGGCTTTATTTAGGCTGTCGAAAGATATAAGAAAAATCCAACAATTATTTCAAGGACTTTCTCCCTGAGTTTTGCAAAGAATCGTAGATTTTTTAAACATATTTTTTGTAAGATTTATAGTTCTAGAATCGTAGATTTTTTTTCAAATATTATTTCAAAACATTTTTATCCAAAAGTCGTGAATTTTTTAAATATATTTAACAAGAATTTTCTGTCCATGAAAAGTGGAGATTTTAAATTTCCATTTCAAAAATATTCTCCTCACGAAGCCAAGACGTTCTGGCCAAAAATATAACACTCTATTACTGGTCAGAATGTCTTGGAATATTTTTTTTTTCAAGTACTTTCATTCCATTTCTGGACTTTTTACAAATATTGTGAAAGGAGGTTCTGCCAAACTTTTGGTTTTTTATCCAAGTAAGCTGGATTAAAAAAAAAAATAATAATAAATATTTGTATGGCCTTCTTGGGAACAGAACTTATGTTTTTTTTTAAGAACTTTCGGGCCAGAGACCTTTGATTTATAAACATGAATTTGTAAAGAATTGTTGGCAATAAATACTTATCTCAACATTTTTTCGCTGATATTCTGGCTGCAAACCATGAATTTTAAAAAATGATTTTCTAGATTTTCTGCTCATAAACAGGGATATTCAAGGGTTTTCTAGGAAAAATAATCTATTCTTCTTCAAGTACTTCCAGCCCACCATCCCCCTCTTCCCTCGTAAACTACTTCAAAATACATCGGCCCATCACACCTACCTCTCTGCTTTGGCAACCGACAAACTGACCTATGGCACAGCTCTTTGACACAATTGTTATACGGCAGTCAACCAACAAAAGGCTTTAGACACTTATTTTAAGGTTTTTAATGTTTGTGGCCAAAAACAATAACAATCAATACCACCATCGGCAGGCGGACGATTGGGTGTTATTTCACAATTCATTTGGGGACGAATTTTCACAGTCTCTGCTTGTGGTTGCGAAACCAAAACCCAGTCAATATGTATCGAGTCCATATATCGAAGTTATTCGTGCCATTCAATAATGACGATTACTGGACATCAATTGGGAAAGGAAAGCTTAATAATGCCTGTCAAATGCAAAAAATGCATGCGAATCACATGTCTTGCAGCGGTCAATGTAGTTTTTTTTTTTTTTAAATTTAAATTAATTTGTTTTTTTAAAGGCGATCTCTTTTATTATGAAAAAAATTATGGTATATATTGGGTCTACGAGGCTGGGGTATGAATCGAGAGATATAACATACTCCTGTAATGAATACTAGATGTTGCGATTAGAGACTGTCTTTGGAAGCAAAGGGGAAATATTCACTATACTCAATAATGGAGAATCGTTGGAGTACTTGTGAGATTTATAATTTATCGTTTATACAGGGTTGCCCATATTCGACGGACCCATCTGGCAACGCCATAACTTTTGACAGAGATGTCACATCGCTTAATGACATACCGCGTTTGAAGCGTCAGTTCAAGCAGATTTTTTACCATGAACCAACAAACGCCACGCGAGCGCTCTGAAATAGTTGAAATTTACATTCAACAGAAGAAGTCAATTGTGAAAACTCAACGTGCTTTTAAAACATTAAAAAATGTGAGAAGTGCGCCTTCTAAGAACACCATTTAGCGTTTATACGAAAAATTTTCGACTGGTAAGGCTCTTTCTAATCCGAAGAGGCCATATAAAAGTCGACCAAGGCGATCGGCCGAGAATATCGCTGCCGTACAAGCCAGTGTTGAGAGGTCCCCAAGAACATCCCAAAAACGCCGTTCTCAGCAGTTGGACATGGCTCGGTCCACTTTACAACGGATTATTCGCATTGATTTGCATTTGTTCCCTTACAAATGTTCCCGAATGTTGCCTGCGGATAAGCCTCGTCGATTGGAATGGGCCCAAAGGTCCGTCGAATATGGGCAAACCTGTATAAATAGTCATATACAGGGTGAGGTAAAAAAAAACTGCAACAAAGTCAAAAGCCATCATTTTTACATTTTTTTTAAATCTTATTAAGTGAAAACAAAAAATGTCGGAAACTGCATCAAATTTTAGAATGAGTTTAGATTTGTTCCAATTTGACACCTTTGGCACGAATTATGGCCTCCAAACGGCCAATGAAAGCGTCACACGCTGCCCGAATGTTGCTCTCCGGTATTTTGACCATTCCCGGCGAAGCTCTTGCTTGAGGTGATCGATACTTTGGTATTTTCTAGCGCCAACCCTGCTTTCCAAAATACTCCAGACACAATAGTCCAATGGATTGGTATCCGGAGATTATGGTGGCCATTTTGCGCTGGAAATCAAGCGAGGAGCCTTTTTTTGTAACCATTTTTGGGTGTTGGAATGTCCAAAGTCTGCGGCCAAAATGTTTGTGTGCCCAAGGCTTTAATACACCCTCCAGAATATTTTCGCTATAATATTCAGTATTTATTCTGATGCCAGGATTGCTGAATTCTCTTAGAATGTTCAAGGTCTGCGGCCAAAATGTGCGTGACAAAGCCTTTAATACACCCTCCAGAATATTTTCGCGATAATATTCGGTATTTATTCTGATGCCATGGACGATTAATACGAGCAGAGAGCGACCATCGGCTGTTATGGCGGCCCACACCATCACCATTGCTGGCGCTTGAGTTCTGGTGACCAACCGAAGGTGTAAATTTTCAGCTGACTTCTTTGGCAAGTAAACACGATCATTTGGTTTGTTTATAAACTGCTGGACAACGAATGTTTTTTCATCGGAGAAAACCAAATTCGGCAGTTCACTAATTTCGGCAGTTCACCAATTTCACCAAGCGAAGCAGCTCTTTAGTTCTTTCGAGTCTATTTTCTTTTTGTTGCGGTGTGTGATCTTGCACTTTTGGGAATTGCAATGTCTTTACCCTGAGCTCCATTCATTTTTCAATATTTGCCGAATAGAATATTGCGATATGTTCCGCTCACGAGCCATTTTTCGGTCACTGCGACGCGGTTTTCGATCAAGTTGCTTCTCTACTTTTCGAACCATTTCTGTTAATGCTGCTTTTTTATTCCGTCCACTTGCTTGACACTACCAGTATCACGGTAACGAGCGATGGTACGAGACACAAAAGATTTATTCACATTTAAATGCTGGAGTGCTCTAACGATAGCCACTTCTTGTTTTCCAGCCAAATATGAAGAAATAACACTATCACGCTTGAACTCCAACTCGGATAATTTTTTTCCTGGAAAGTTCTCACCAAAATGCTTTTCTACGCTTGTAAACAACATAGTGCCACAGTGGCTTAGAAATGATAGCATTCTGAAATTGGTTGCAGTTTTTTCATGTCACTCTGTTTTGGGTCTGCTGGGTTGAAATCTGCTTCCCAGAAGAGATCTCTTCTCCTAAAATGATTTTTAGAAGAGCCGTCTTTGGAAGGAAAAAGAAAAAAATCATTGTAAACATAAATGAAGAATCGTTGAAAGAATTAAAGGGATTGTAAGATTTACAGCTTCTCGTTTAAATTTTCATAAATATTTATTTATATTTTTATAAATTATAATGCCTAAATATAACAAATTTTTATTTCCGATTTTTTCAGAAAATTTTATTTGCCTCCTCATATAATTTCTCTTACATGTGGAAATATTTTTGTTACATGTCCAAATTATATTATTATAACTGTTATATGAAGAAATATTAATTGATATATTTTTCATTTTTCCATATTTATATCTCTCCATTTGATACATGCAATCTTAACACATCCAAAAGGTCTATTAGGAAAATCTGCCAATACAGGTGAGAAACAATTAATGTAACAAACTAAATGTTATGTTTGAATTGTTTTTTATAGTTTTTTTTGTGAAATTGGCTTAATTTTTGTTTTTAATTTTTCGTTTTCCAAACTCTTGATATTCGTTTCGAATTTCCAATTGATTTTTTGTTTTACGTTCAAAAAAAAAATACGTTTGTGTGCATGTCGCTTTATTTCTTTTTATATTCCTTAAAAATATAAAATAAATTAATAATAAATGTTGTATATCTTCAATATGTGTCTCTTCCTCTCTCTTTCTTTTTGTCCCCCCTAAATTTTTGTATTGAATTGTTATTGTATTTAACGTCGAAATTCTTTAGCGAGACAGCGCAAAGTTCGTTCTCTCAAAGCGGAAACGGCTGAACAGACATCAGCCAATCGGATAAATTTTGTGGACCTGACGAATAGTTAGTATAAAATAAATATTATTTTTTTAACATTATAATATAACGTAAATTATTTATCGTGTGAAAACCATATCCAAAAAAATGATCATCTGCTCCTTTTGTTCAGAGACTCAGAATTAAATTTGATATAGAATAATTCCTACTTTGAAAATCTCTCCTGGAAATGAAATATAAAGAGATTTGCATTCTTTAAAATGTTCCGAAAATATTCCCTAATTTTTTTCATCAATTTTTCCTCGGACTTTTTTTTTTCGAGTCCGAGAATGTTCCGAAATTTCAACCTAGACATATAAATTATTTTGAGATTTGCAGTGAAATTTTGTGAAGAGTATTTCGTCCTCTGACGCCTTTTGCCTAAATCGAAATTTTATATTACTTTCGGGGGTCAACTTGAAAAAATCAGAGGAAAAATTGATAAAAAAATTAGGGAATATTTTCGGAACTTTTTTTAAAAACATTGATGCAATTTTTTTTTAATATACAGTGGAAATGGAAATTTCTTCTCTTCGGTAACTTATGTTAAAATTTGATGAGGAATATTTTCATTTTTGGCGTCATCTTTCTAAAATCATGCTTTGTTGGAGTTTTTTTAGTTAAACTCACGAAATGTATGGTTAAAGTTAAAAAGTTAAAAAGCAATAAGTTTGGCCGAACTTTGAATACGCTCCACAATTTGGAACGAATTTGGAAATTAAAAAAAAAAAATAAATAAAAATAAATAACATTAATAAATAGATTAAAAAATAAAAATAAAAAACCGTTAAAAAATCTGTTATAAAATACAGAATACAGGAAGTGGCCGATATTTTGGGGTCTATACGAGGAGGTGGACCTGCATAGACAAATGCAAATACGAAATTTGAAACAATTCCGGTGAATATTGTACCTAAAATCGTCAAAAAATAATATGGGGAGGTACCATATATGGGGGCTACACGAATACCTGGGCTTGTAAAGACAATTTTCTGTCATAGACTGTGGTAACCATTAGGAACTTCAAATAAGAAATTTGAAACAATTTCGGTGAATAATGTCACAATAATCATCAAAATACCGAATATAGTGAGGTACCATTATATGGGGGTGTACGAGAACCTGGACCGGTATGGAGAATTTTCTGTCACAGGCTGTAGTACCCATTACGAAATGCAAAAAATAAATTTGAAAAAATTCCGGTGATTATTGTACCTGAAACCGTCAAAATACCGAGTATAAGGAGATACAGTTATATGGGAACTGTATATATGGGAATGGATTAATGCCAAATACCAAAAGTCCAAAGACACATCTGAGTAAAATTTTATGAACTTTCTTCAAGTTGTTCAGAAGCTAGAGTGATTGTCAAACGGACAGACAGACGGACGGACATCGCTAAATCGACATAAGATGACCACGTCGTCTTAGGTTGTTCGAGCTAGACAGTTTATGGTGGGTAGGCCTTATGACATAGATCGGGACGATAACTTACTGAAGGCATGTTCGGCAGCCGATGACTTCCCAAATGGATCGGAACTCGATCAGGTTCATCACCTAACTGTGGGTATGATCGGGTTTAGGTTAAGGGCTAAGAAACTATTCTAGCGAGCAAAAAAGTTTACGACTACCTCAAATTTACTACTAATGCTTGTGGGACAACTATTCGAAGCTCTTCTTGGTCAATAAGTCGAAGCTCAATTTAACTAGAGCCAGCTCAAAAAGTATTCCAAGCTAATGATTCTGTTAGTCGGAGAATAGAAAATGACTCGCAAAATCACTCATCGTAACACAAACCGAACACTATATGTGGCCGGCATTACCAAGTGATTGAGAATTATTTGCCCTATATAGAAAACAACAAAAGACTCCTGTGGAACAACGTGGCGAAGCTCCTGTTGGACAACGAGCCAAAGACTCCTGAGGAACAACTAGCCGAAGCTCCACAATGTGCAGAAGCTACTGCGGAACAATGAGTCTAAGCTCCTGTGATACAACGAAACAAATACTACTGTGGAACCATGAGCTGAAGACTTCTGTGGGAAAAAGAGCCAAAGACTCCTGCGGAACCACGAGTCTAAGACTCTCTTGAAATAACAAGCCAAATCTCTTGTGCAACAACGAGCCGAAAACTTCTGTGGGAAAATGTACCGTAGACTTCTGTGGGACCACGAGCTAAGAACTCCCGTGGAACTACAAGCCAAAGCTCCTATAGAGCCATGGGTCGAAGACTCCTGTGGGACATGAACCCAAAGTTCCTGTGGATCAATGAGCCGAAGCTCTTTTGGGACAATGAGCAGAAAAGTCCTGTGGAACAATAAGCCAAAGCTCCCATGAAACAATTATTCGAGGACACCAGTGGGACTGCGACCCGAAGCTCCTGAGTAAATAAATTAAGGCCCATTTAACTGAGAGGCAGTCAAGAAATATTCCTAGCTAACGATTCGGAATCGGAGGACAGAAAATGATTTAGAAAATCACCAACTATATTTTAACAATCCCAATGCAGTAGCAAGCCTATCTCCGGCCGGCATTACCAAGGGAGTGGGAATTATTTGTTTTAGGCGATGCATATTGTCGAAAGCAGAATTGCCCGTGAGGCAGCCAACGAATACTGGAATGGTTGACTGAAGTTGTTCATATAACGGTACCCCCTGATATCCGGTATTTTGATGATTTCAGCCACACATTTCAACGGAATTGGCTAAAAATTCACATAAGGAGTTCTTTGTGAGTACTTTATACCCTTGAAGATAATTATTTACATAGGGCCACAATATCGTATATCCCCCATATAACGGTACCCCCTGATATTCGGTACTTTGATGATTTTAGCCCCATTTTTCAACGGTATTGTCTGAGTTATTTGTGAGTACTTTACCCCTAGATATAGATTTGTCTATATAGGGCCACAATATCGTATATCCCCCATATATCGGGACCTTCCGATATTCGGCAGTTTTAAGATTTTAACAGAATTTTTAATGGATTTTATTTTATTTTTATTATTATTTTTTTTTAATTTCCTAATTCGTTCCAAATGGTGGAGGGTACTCAAAGTTCGACCCGGACGAACTTACTCCTTTTTTACTTGTATGTTTTCCTATTTATATATATATTTTTAAAAAATCTTAAATGAATAGTGACGAAGTTGCAAATGTGTACTCCTAAAATATTCGGCGGAAAGTATATAAAATGACCAAAAACCGCACCGAAAAATCCATAAATTTTGAAAACAGTCTTGAGGACAACAATGCAAAGAGAAACAAACGCAACAAATAATAAAAAGTCTATCCCAAAACTTATGCTTTCTGTGAAAGTTGTCCATGCTAAGATATCTGCTACGCATTCTGTTCTTTTCGCAAAAAAAAAAGAATTATTACACCACAACCAAAACTGCTAACAACGATAGACGTTAAAAAAATAGAAGTGAAAAATTCCCTTAAAAACCCTCCAAAAAAAGAGAACACCATAAAAGATGTTGACTTTCCAATCTGCTGGCAACTGGCTATCCAATTTGAAAATAAAGGGAGAAAAAACCAACAGCTAGAAGTGAAAATGCCATCATCCGCTACTGATACCATGTAGCCAAATGGCCATCTCAAAAAAGGGGGCGAATCTTCTTATTTTTTCGGATATTTGCTAGAAAAGACAACGGCTGTTTGGCGGTTATAATTTCATTTAACAATGCCGGCATGAATGACTGGATGGTTGGCTGGCTGACGGCTGGGCCGGTCGCTGGGTTGTTTGGTGTTCAGAGCGGCAACATACGTTTATAATAGGCATGTCAGTATGCTTTTGCACAAAAATTCTATTATGCCGAATGAATTATTGCAATTGTTCCAAAATGGCAAACGAAAAGTGGGAATAGAATGGCGGAAACAAATAGGAAGGACTACAGAAGGGCATAGACGACTATAGGGTATACTATATGCCATGGACCGATAAACAGCACGGAATCTATTGAAATAGCAAATATCCTTTAGAGAGTACTCTATTTTCCTTCTAAATCAATTTCCTTTTACTGATGTTACAATCAAATGCAACAACTTATAATACCCATGCATCACATGGTAGCACCGAAGTCCCCGGAATTTACGAATTACGAAGGAAATGCGTTTTAATAGAAATATTCGTATCTAAAATAACAAAATTTTTTTACGAATGAATAATTCGAAAATTTAACTGTTACTTTGAATAAATTCTTTTGGGACAAGTTAGTGCAAGTGGAAATAAGTTTTGAAATTTAAATTTTTTTATGAGCGTTATCCTTTAATTGCGGATAAAACGATGATATTTTGGTATTTGGATAGATAATTTGATTTTTTTCTGCAAAGCTCAGACTTGCAACTTAAAACAAAAGGTTTCCAAAATTATAAACAAATACAAGAAGAGACACAGTTTGGGCAAGCTGTATTTTTGATACTTTTAACCATGAGGAGATAGTTTTGAATAGAACTTTTCAAATTTTCTTCAAGACATTTTCTTATAAATAAATAATTATAAAATCTAGCGGTGCCTTTATAAGGAGGTTGTATTCAAAAATGTTGTATAGAGTTGATGAACTCAATATTAAATTAAAAATATCAAATAATATAACATTA